GAGATGGTGTGCCTTTGTTTAAGACATTCCCTCTGGATGGATGGAAGTCGAAAGGAATCTTTCCCCAGGGCAGGGGGTTTGCATCACTGTGCCTAACTTAAGAGAAATAACCCACACCAAAAAATGGTTTAAATTTTAACATCATAATTTTTAGTTTTATTTTAGATTATTACTAATGTTGAAATTAGCATTTAATAATCTCTTTCCTTAATCTGAACATGTATATATATTAAAAAAATGCTTACTTTGTGAAATAATTTTTGAGAGCGCTATTCAAATTATTCCAAAGTTTTAATTGAGAAAGTACATTAAAAACTTAAAAATTAATGAAAAATACAAAGGCTGTTTACAAGAAGAAGTAACAAAATCTTTCACTAGAACTGGAAGGCAGGCATTTGGTGAGCTCAGTCTCTGACAAAATACCCATATCAGAATCACTAGAAATATTGTTGTTGAACTCCTTAGAAAATGCTTCCATCACTCTCATCCATTTCACTGATTGGCTTATTTACCATGTGAGTATATCCATCTTATATAATAAGCTGAACACAGCCTCTCCGAAATAAAACGGAGGTACGTGATGTGTAAGAGATACAAGCAATGCAAAGTGTAACAGAGCCCCTCTAAGTAACCTTAAAAGACACTACATAGTAGTGAAAAAAGAATAAAAGTTGGATTTGAAAGGATGTCAGAAATGTGAATATTTATATCATGTGCAAGTTGAAAAGCTGTGTTTACATTATGGTTTCGTTCCTTCCCTGCAACAGCTGACACCAACGTTATGCAGAATGTGATCAAACTGAATCTAAGAATCCTAAAACTATATTCATTTCAAGGTTGCCATCTAATGGTCTTTAAAAAAATGTTTCAACTTAAAATGCACATATGCATAACCCGCCACTTACACTTGTTCTCTAGTGATACATGGGTGAGACACCCGGCTGTGAGAGATGTTTGTGGGGAATCCATGTACGGGGTGCCCATCCAGGGTTAAGTTGTGAACCACATCCTGTCATTTTTGGCTCGACAAACCTGGGAAATGATTGTAAGGAAACTGATGTTAGTTCTTCAGCCTTTCACAAGAACTCGAATCAGCCATTTACTGCTGTTCAAAGACTTCGTGAGGTTAGACTTAATGCAAGGAAACCTGTGGTTTGTGTCTCAGTCACTTCATCTTTCAGTGGAACCTGTTTAAGATAGTTCTTGCTACTCATTAAGTTTAGGATTTCCATTTTGGTATTATCTAATCATTTGTTTTGCACTTTATTTGATATGTGAGTCTAGCAACCCAGTTATGTTTGTAATGATGTGATAAGGAAAAAATTGGTGCAGTTCTAAGCTACGCAACATTTAATTTATGGTACAAAGTATTGAATGTTATTCATGATTAAGATGTACAAATTATTTGATAATTATGTTAAACTTTACAGGTAAATAGTCTCATTAATCTCTCTCTGCTTTTGAAGTAAAAATGAATCAGATATTGAACAAAGTTGGACATTTGAGTCAAAACATTTTTGCCATTGTCATGTTTTTTTTGGGCTAAGGGAATCAGGACCACATACTGTTTACTGGCGAGTTTAGTTATACCATGAGTGGTCATTCTAGACGTGCTGTGATCAGGAGAGAGGAATATGTTATAAAGTTTAGTCCTTTTAGGTATCATAAATTGCAACCAAAATTTAAATAAACTGACAGTGAATTATCGCCAAAACTAAAATAACAACTGAGACTTGAAAAGGGTGTAAAAGAGTTTTATGAAAACTAAAGCAGAACAGAAGGCACACCTGGTGCTTCCAACTCAGCCAGCACTCATTGTGATTTAACTTAAAATAACAATCAAATGTAAAAATTAAATTCAAATAAACTAATAACAGCTACACAAATAATTTTAACACGAAGCTGCTTTACAAACCTAACCAGTGTAGATATTCCTAATATTGCCAAATATAATGCAAAGCTGAAGACCACAAATCTTATCTAAGCTAGCAACAACTTGGTAATGTGGCCTCAAAAGGCAGAACATGCTGTCTCATAATTTAAAAACCTCAGCTTAAATGTATGCAAGTTAATTTACATTCTGGTGAGAAACCAGAAGGTAGAAGTGACATTAAATATCCAAAACATAAAATAGTTAGTTAAATTAACATAATATATTGTTATAATGTAGCTTGCCTTCCCTTGTTCATGAAAAATTCTCTTTCCAATGAAAGTAGCTCATTGTGATGTCCTTAGTATGGAGTTATTAAAAATGACCACACTAAGCTGCATATCTTTAATGCAAGATCTGTAACTGGCTGCAGATTTTGTGGACAAGGTTTCTAGAGCCCCATGTAAACCTCATGGCCCAGACTCTTTGCTAATGGGTGGTGATATTCATCTGTGTTGTGAGAATACTTCGAAATAGAAGATACCGCTGAAATGGATTGAACAACTTATTCCCCAGGCCTGAACCAATCAACCTTTTAGACAACCTAGGGGTTTTTCCCTCCTGTTAGGAATCCTCATATCTTCAGGGGTAATATAAATCTAAATAAAGGTAAATGTATTTTTTCTTTTTAAATTTTGGAAAGGGGTAATGAACTTACAGCAATGCTGAAAGGGTTGCTTATAAGGTATTTCTCCCACTTCCCTAGCGTCCTTCGTGGTGTAGTGGTTCTGCATGCTGGGCCTGTATTCCAGAGGTCCGTGGTTCGATTCCCGGCGAATGCGGTTGTTATTTTTCATCTTTCCTCCATCCAAAAATATACCTAATTTCTCTACAAGTGGCGCCCGAACTAAAAGGGTTGTGGATGATGATTCTCCGCTCCCAGGATTTGGCGACTAGGTCCCCTAAAACCCTAGTTGCCCTTTAAAAAAGGGGAGTATATAAGGTATTTCTCCCACTTCCCTAGCGTGCCTTCATGGTGTAACGGTAGCACGCTGGACCAGTATTCCAGAGTTCCGTGGTTTGATTCTCGGCAAAGGCGGTTGCATATTTTTCATCTTTTCTGCTTCCAATTAACCTAATGACTCTACATGCTTATGGCAAAACAAGTTGAACTACCATTTAGACCAGCGGTTGAACAAACTACCATCTAGACCAGCGGTTCTCAACCCTTTGACTAACGCATACCATCTAAACAAAAATTGAAAACCTTTAATACCACCACTACAAAGTACTACTATCACCACCACTCGTGAACAAAGCTCAGATTGCATAAATTTACGAGTGTTAGAGAAAAAATTCAATCAGGATGTTGTGGTTTTAATTTTTGAATTTAATAGTTATAAAAGTACTTTGCCTCTTTGCATACCACTGGTTAAGAGCCCCTGATGTAGACTCTTAGAGACCTGAGGGTAAGTGTGCGACTTTACAGCTGAAGACCTGTTGCTTTGTGGCTCAACTTTGTCATTCACCCATTCCTTTAATCATATAGTTACTCATCTTCTACTTATTTCCCTCACTATTAATGATTTATAATTTACAGGGAAATTTTTATTGTTATTTAAAATTAGATGCTCTTTTATTACACTGAAAAAATGCAGGAAATGTTAGCTAAGGAGGAATATATTCTGTAATTCTCATGCAAATGAATTCCCAGAAATAAGTAATGACATTTCCTTCCCTTAAACACTGCTAATTCAGAGAGGAGGAGGATAAATATCGCTTATCAAAGTTCTGAATTTTTTATCATGTCGAAACTTTAAGAACATTTAAATGCATCCAGGTTTATAAATTTCATCTTAAAGCAAAATTTCAAAGAGGTGGAATGAAGAGACTGCATTAATGTGTTGCAATGAAAGGAGACTTATTGGATAATGAGAACTTGTAGTAGAAGAACATTAGTGCTTATAAAGTGTAATCTTTGACATTTTCTAAAATTTATCCTTTTTTTTAAACATTTTAAATCCATTTCATACTACTACAGTAAAAAATAAATGCTTAGTGACTAACATGTGGTGGGATATAATAGCCCAAAAGTTTTTAGACTTTGCAATATAGTTTTCTAATATTAAAATGCATTGAATAGGACAAGGGTCATAAGCCTTTTTTTACTAGCAGGGCATATTTCAGAAATGCATGAGTTCCATGGACATCATACTAATCGATTGGTGAGCATTGTAGTAGCAGTGAAATGTCTTTAGGCTGTATATTTTTTGGCAGCTACAATAATAAAAAAAATTAAGTATTAAATAAAAACAACTACATAAGTGTACCAAAATAGAGTTAATTTATGTAGATTACAAAAGTTGTAATGTTCTAATAATGTGTTTCATTATTATGAAAACATTTATGGAAAAATGTTGTTAGCCAAGCAAGAAAACTGCAGACTACTGTTGTGCTACGGAAATAAGTTGTTGACTCGCAACAATCAGCTGAAATGAAATTATTTTCTTACTACCAACCATTGCAAAAGCAATGTTGTCTCTACTTTTTCATTATCTTTTAATTTGAAAAGAAGAATGGTACTGTGCTTCCAACTCAAAATACAAGTTCAGGACATGATGAACAAGAGAGTATGGATATTTGACATCATGGCATGATTGGTCAGAGTTTTATTCAGGATAATGGAGTAGAGAATAGTTCACCGTATAAGGAATAGAATATTTCTGGTAGTCAAAAATTGATTCCTCTAGTCATGTAGTAATCTAGATATCATTAAGATTCAGTTTTTGTCAGAAGTTTAATTGTACAGTTTTTAAAATGGCAAAGATACACATTTACAAGTGTTTGTATGTAGAAATTAGATGTTTGAGCAGTTGTACATTAAAATTGCTTCACATGCACTTTTTGCCTGCAGATGCTGCACTGCTGATCCCTGTTGTAGGAAATAAACTGTTATTTTACTCCTTCCCGTTTTTCTGCATGTTTGTGTTTTTTGAAGCACTCTAAATGGATGATTTTGGAATGCGAATTTTCATTTTATAAGCTGAAATTTTTTTTGAGTTATTTTATGTGTCTGTTATTTGCATATAATTGTAGGTCCAAATTTTAATTCTTTTTATTGTAATTTTAGGAAATGAGAAGGCGGCGTAATGAAGTTACGTTTGAATTAAGGAAAAATAAAAGAGATGAATCTTTACTTAAACGACGCAACGTACCACAAGCAGAAGCTACAGATGAAGATGATGTTGACAGATCTATGAGCCATACTAGTTTAGAACTTATAGTTACAAATGCAAATAGCAGCGAGCCAGAAGTTCAGCTATCTGCTGTTCAAGGTGCTAGGTAAAATTACTCCATTAGCATTCTGAATTTATTTTTTAAGCATGTCTTATTTTTATTTGCTTCATGTATTATGGTTAAATTTCAAATTTTTCTGTTGAAATTATGGGTTTAGATAAACTGCATAATCTATTTTTGTCTTATTTTGTTCAATGCATCTTGATGCTCACTGAAAATTCAGTTGTTGGCTCTTGTTCTTAGTGTGTGTAGTATCTACACGCTGAAGCTTTCCCCCCTTCAGAATTAAGGAATATATCTGTATATAGTAAACAATTACCATTTTGTCAAAATTACTGCTAACAGTGGGTGAAGCATCTTGATACTTCCTCCATTCCTAATTCTGTATTTCTTACATTTACATTACATAGTATTCTTACATTTGTGATTTTCAAACAGTGTAGTGAGGTCCATAGATTTGCCTCAAGATTTTGGATAATGCTGAATGCAATTTAATATGCGAGTAGAACAAATCGTAAGTATTAATATAACTATAAAATGTAAATGATTTTTATAATAAAAAGTTGCAAACATAAGTGAGAATTTAGTTTTATACAATGTGCCATTCAATGAGGTCCAGATTTGCCTCAAGATTTTGGATAATGCTGATGCAATTTAATATGCGAGTAGAAAGATCGTAAGTATTAATATAACTATAAAATGTAAATGATTTTTATAATAAAAAGTTGCAAACATAAGTGAGAATTTAGTTTTATACAATGTGCCATTCAATGAGGTCCAGATTTGCCTCAAGATTTTGGATAATGCTGAATGCAATTTAATATGCGAGTAGAACAGATCGTAAGTATTAATATAACTATAAAATGTAAATGATTTTTATAATAAAAAGTTGCAAACATAAGTGAGAATTTTAGTTTTATACAGTGTGCCACTTCAATGACTACAATTTTTCAGATAGGGTAAAAGTTTTTAAACATTTGTCTGAGTTTTGGGGAGCATATATGGTGCTACAATTTACATAAATAGAATTAATTTATTATGATTAATAAAAATATTGACACATATGTAAGGAAAATAGAGTACTATGAATCCCCCCAAAATGTAGAGGAAGGACCTTCTTCAGAAAGTACGCATAAAGGAATTTGGTAGTAGCCATTGTTTGTCTTTATTCAACAATGTACATTGTGAAAAGAGTATTTGTTACAGTGCTGTGGAAATTACAGCGTTGAAGTTCAGTTTTGTGCAGTGCAAAATGCGACCTGTAAATTCTTTGCAGAAGCCTTTTCAAGCATAAGAATGCATGCATATGTTCAAAATACACACACAGTAAATGTATTTTTTTATCAAATTTTACAAAAAAATCCAAACTGAATTTTGTGAAATGGGACAAGGCAGAGAGTAAAAGAAGACAGCAATTTATATGATGCAGCAGTGAAAGTATCCTCTAATGATCGAGTAATATCTTCATAAAAGCATGACTGTTAAAAATGACAAACCAAGATGGTTCCTAAAATGAGACTAATATGTTGAATGAGTATCAGATACTCAGGTTTTACAGTTGGTGAGACAATCAGGCATGTTGAGAGGAGAGGTTTGGGCTACCCCGGGGAAGGTTCCTGTAATCTGGAATCATCGATTTCACTTCTTGTTACTACTACTAAGAGTATTAGCGAGTAATTCTTTTGCCCGTAGGCAATCATGTTAATTTTTTTAATTTAGCTAAAAGATGCATGAGCACGACATATCGAAGGCAAAAAAGTTTTTGAGGCGGCAAAGCCATGAGGTTGAGCTTGAAAAACATCTCTATCAGTAGAAGCTTACTGTGCTTTCAATAGTTAACGCTGAATCGTCGGAGCCAGTGACGTGGGAGGTCACCTTTCCAAGAGTACCCCAAGAGACATACTGCTCGAAAACAGGAACCCTGTGAAGGAAAATGAGAAATCTTGAAAAAATGAGATAAGAATCCTTAAATTTCATCAGTTAATTTTGGGAATAGCAGAATTAATCCTTCTCCTCTGCAACTTTCATTAGATCCATTGTGGCTCTAAATCCTACTGATAGTTTTTCTGCTGTGGTTTTTGCACTTCTAATTTTCTCAATGGGCTCAATAATGTTGCTTATGAAATCTTTAATCTTCTCATCTTTTAGCCAAGACATGGCTTCATTTACTTCGTTCGGAATGGTGGCTATTTTTCTTTTTACTTTCTCACTGAATAGAGACTTGGGAGCTTTCTTTACTTCTTCGTTTGCTGCATTTGTGAGTTGTATCTTCATCTTTTTCACAAATTCTTTTAGTTTCTGTTGGGCTGGCTTCTCGAACTTTTTTCTATACTGTGCACATCCTCGATAGCTGCAGACATGATTTTCTATGCAGAATATACAGATTGGCTTTTCTTCCTTTTTCAAAGGACAAACATTGCTTCTATGCTCTTTCCCGCACTTACGGAATCTTTCTTGATTAGTGCATAGGCGCTGAGAGTATCCCCACTCCCGACACCTAAAACACTGTATCAGATGTCTTCATGGGTTATAGTAACATTGACACTGAACATGTTGTTCAGGTTGTGGATCACATATCCATTTTTGCTTTTTTTTAGTTCTAAGAGACAGATTGGGAGCTTTTCGTAATTGTTTTTCCGGCTTCTGCAGAATTGCTTTACTTTCTCGATTAGGAACTGTTGTCTTTCTAAATTTGGAAAAAAAAAAAAAAAAAAATTAGACCTGCGTGAATTTTTTGCTGTCGCTTTTTTGTCTCATTGCCGTTTATTTTCAATAATTGTGTAGATATTTTTCGTGTATGTATATATTATAGGCTTATTTTTCTTTATTGTTAATATTAATCGTAGTTAATTATTTTAATCATAGTTGGTTTGTGCTTCCATCAAAAAGGTGTGACTTTTATACAATTTCACGAAGCTAAGAAATAGGAAACTTTGTAAATATTTTTGTATATAGGACTTGTGTATATAGCTATTTATCTCATTTATCCATATATATTTAAGAATATTGTGTATATCCAGAAAACCATGTATACAGCCATAATACAGAATTTTTTCATTCTTATACAAACGCTTCTACTCATTTTCGTGCTTCACTGCAATGCTCGCTTAGTCGCTCTTTTAAAAGCTCTTGCGGCGCGTGTTCCACCTCATGGAACACTCACAGAATTAAAACGGTAAGTGAAATTTTTACAAAATTTTACCTGTATACTCCTAATAGACTGCATACAACTTTTTTGTTGAAGTTCCGACGTTAACGTATAGTGCGCCACAAAGGGTTAACAAGAAAATTTTGCAATTTACGTAAAATGCAATCTCGAGCTACTGCGCTGACTACCTACTTGATTGGGTCAACAAGTGCAACTTAATCAGTCACTAACCTAAATGCCCACTCTGTTGGCGGGGGGTCCTCCAGAAAACCTTAAGTTTTTAAGTGTATGTACACTGCACAAAAAAGGGGACAGTTCTATATCTCCCGTTTTATTAAGCTGATTCACAAAATTCAAATACAGTCAAAAGTCGTTAATTTGGACACCCATAATCCGAAATGATCTATAATCCGGACCTCAAAGCTACAAACTTTCTGCGCATGCATCGCATTGACGCATACTGAAAAAGCATAATTGAAAGCATCACACATCGCTGTATGTGCTGTATTGCTTCTAGTGGCGATCATATTCCATATTGAAGGTACTTCTCCTATAGCAAACTGACACCTTCGATTTGTTCATTTTATACATGTGCTAATTTCTATACTACCATATTTGTCTGGTAATTTCTTTTTATGTTATTTGATATCTTACTATGTGTTGTATATTGTGGGTAAGTTTCATAAAATCCTACATGTAACTTTTTCAGTAATCGTGATTTTTGTGATTTTTCTTTAATTTATGATAACCAGTGTATTATAACCATCATCCGAAGAACACTCAAACTCTCTGCTCGTTATGAAGTTAATGCAGGAGATTGTGTGACACCTGAGATATAAAGAGGCAGTGAACTCCTTCATGCAAACAATTCAAATGAAGCCGTAAATGGAAAGTTTAATTCTCTCGATAAAAATAAGACATGGGATCTTGTCCGTCCACCAGAGACAAGTGACATGAATATTCAAATTCTTTCTAATGGAAAGATTGACAGATACAAAGCAAGGCTGTACTAAAGGATTTTCTCAAGTGGAGGGGGTGGACTTCAATGAAACCTTTCTGCCAACATCAGTACAGCTATAGCTGCACAGAAAAAATTGAAAGCTGTGTAAAATGACTTATAAAAGCTGTATTTCTGTAAGGTGATTTTGAAGGAACAATATTCATGGAACATTATCCAGGCTTAAACAATAAAAAAAATTTGGTGTGCCAGATCAAGAACTCAGTATGGACTGAAATAAGCATCTAGGTACAGGAACAAGACATTTTCTGAATTCTTAACTAGTAACTAGCTTTGTTTTCAAGTGAAGCACTCCTGAATCATTTGTCTTCAGTGGTATCTTTGAGCATAAGAAAGTATTTTTAATTTTATATATCCCTGGTGCTTTATTGTTTTGTGAAGAATGGGAGTTAATAATTGAAATTGTGGGTGACTTGAGGAAGAAATTGGGAGCAATATTTTTTGAAGCAGGATATTTTATTGGAATGCAAATTGATTATAAAGCAGAGGCTTTGATTTTCATACGATCAGAAAGCTATATAAAGTGTATTCTGAAATGATTTCACTTAGGTGCAAGTCTTAACATTGTACTTGCAGATCTTTGTACAATCCTGTCATTCGAATCTAATACATTACCAGAAACAAGAGTAATTTTTATTTCCACCCTTCAGGAAAGCTGCTGGATCATTAATGTTACTTACCTACATGCTCAAATGTAGCTTTTGCTGTAGGTAAAGTTAGTAGCTTTCAAAGTCAGTCCTGGCATTGGAATGGTGTAAAATGCATTTTCAAGTACTTGAAGCTACAGCACTGTACCATATTTTCCAATAGCTAATGCTACTTGCCATCTTGTTGGATACTCAGATGCTGATTTTGCTTATGATGTGGACATAAGAAAATCAACTTTCAGTTATATGTTTAACCATATGTTTATGTCAGTTATGTGTTTAAACATAGCAATAGTCCAGTAATCCATCAACTGCTTCTATTTCTACCACTGAGGCTGAATATGTTGCAGCTTCATTGCAGTGATGGAAGTATTGTGGTTGTGTCATTTTCTGCAAGATTTGCATGAAAATGATATGTGTAAAGACGGTATTGTTAACTTTGTCTTGTTAAGTTGATCAAAAATCTGTGCTGATGTGCATTACCATTTTACTCATGAAAAATATGAAGATAAATCTGTCATTATAAAGTACAGGGTGCCCATAATTAAATTTGAAATTTGAGAGCAGTCTATAACAAAAACTATGCAGCGGAATTGCATGAAAATTTGATAATGGCAGAATGAAATGATGAGAATTTTAAAGAGGGGAAAAACAATGAATTTCGAAAACCATCCCTAGGTGGCATATCATGGCTTTATTGAGAACATATAAATAATCTCCAAAAGCTTACAAAACATCTCGATATGATGTCCACCATTGTCTGCTACTATCTGGAAGGGTGAAATCACATGTTCGACTTTTGAAAGCAGCATGAACTGGGGAATGTTACGCACATGGCGTTCCATGCTTTCTTTAAGGTCGGACAGAGATGTGGTAGTATCATGGTATAGCCTTGAGGTATCCCCATGGCCAAAAGTTGCAAGGATTCAAATTGGGGAATGTAGGAGGCCAAGCTGTAGGAAATTGCCAGCTGATGATTCTGTCGTCACCAGAATGGCGGCGGAGTACTTGTTTCGCACAACAGGTGATGTGTAGAGGGGCACCATTCTGCATAAAAACTGTGGTTGTATCACATAGCCTTGCCTGAACACCTGGAATAATGGATTGCTCTAATAATGAACCATATTGTTGACCGGTGACAGTTCTTGTCATAGGTTCTGCGATGCTGTGCTCTTCGAAAAAATAAGGACCCACAATGAAGGTTGCAGTAAAGCTGCACCAAACCATTACATGCGAAGAGTGTAATGGAATTTGTAGGAATTGATGTGGGCTTGTAGCAGCATAAATATGCCAATTGTGCATGTTAACCGCACCTTCCATATGAAAGTTGGTCTTGTCGGTCCACAAAATGTTCCATGTCCATTCATCCTGGAGCTCAGCTCGCAGAAGAAACCGCAATGCAAAAGTTTGCCGACTATCCAGATCAGATGGTAAGAGCTGCTGCACTATCGACAATTTATAGGGATAATAGCATAATACCTTTTGAAGAATTTTAGGAACCATGGAACAAGGTTGGTCAACAGATGCTGCAATATGCCGAAAACTAGTGGCTGCCGATGGTTTGCGATCTGTCTTCCTACAGTTGCGTCTTTACATCCTCCACTACCTGTGCTACAACACACTTTTGTCCCCTTCCTGTCCTGAATCCCCAATGTTTCTGTTGCTGTTAATTTCCTAATCATGTTTGTTAGTTCTTAGACTAGTTAGTGGACCTTTTTGAAACTGCTTCCCAAAGACCGAAATTTCCGCAAAGCTTCGGTAGCAGAGTCTCCGTTTTGCTAAAACAATTTCACCAGTAAAGCATGTTCCTGCAGAGTCAACGTCATCTTCATAGACGTCATAGGAAATGGGTATGATTGCGGTTCACCTCTTGCAACTTTATAGTGTTGTTGTGCTCTTACAAGATTACTGTGGTTACGACATTTCCATATGCCAATAGTTTACATTGCACAATGCCATCTAGTGGTGTTTTTTGAAATTCATTGTTCTTTCCCCCTTGATAAAATTCCCATCATTTCATTCTGCCATTACCTAGTTTTTCATGTAGTTCTGCTGCATAGTTTTTGCTACAATCTGCTCACAAATTTCAAGTTTAATTATGGACACCTTGCACATGAAATATGAAGAACAGTTAGCAGATATCTTCATGAAAGCTGTTTCCCAGGCAAAACTTTAAAAGGTTAAGAAAACTACTCAACATAAAAGATGACACTCAAATGAAGAAGCTTTTAACAGAGTTGCATAAGCTAACATTTTTTAAATATCTTAATTTAAGCTTTAAATTTTTGCTTTTCATTTAATAATTTTTAGTTCAGTTTTTCTTGTTGAAGTCGTTGGTCGTATGTTTGAGTCATACTTTTTGTTGTTGTGTTATCAATCAATGTTATCAATGTTTTGTTGTTTTTTTAGCTGTTTGTGTGCACATAATCCAAGTGTAGTGTAAAAATTTAAAAAAAAGGAAAGTGCAAAGCAAACTCGGCAAGACATGCTGAGTTTGCAAAAATCACTGAACCATATAACCGTTGGTCTCAGTGTGTGTGGAGTAAAGGCATTCTACTGGTTTATTACTATTATAAGCGTTTCAGAAAACTTTCATTCTAAATATTTAATGTGCATAGAAATAAAATTGATTTATTTACCTACATATTTTTAGAATTGCACGGTTTGAAAAATGTTTTCTTTTTTCATTCTGTGTTTTCTGAAAGATTTCCTGATGTAAAATATAAATGTATATTGTTATTACTACATTAACTTCTTCCGTCACTATTGGGATTTTGTTTCCTAAAAATTGAACTGAATTGTGTCTGTATATAAAATTAATTTTTTAATATTTAAATTTTGTATTGCAGAAAATTACTCTCTAGTGACCGCAACCCTCCAATTGATGATTTAATAAATTCCGGGATTTTGCCCATACTTGTTCATTGCTTAAGTCGGCATGATAAGTAAGTAAAATGCTTTCACAAAAAAGATAATTTCTTTTAATAATGCACACACATAGAAACACACTAAACTCATTTGTTATTTAAATGTATTTTAAAATTATTTAATTTTAGTACTTTCTGCATCTTTGCTAAAGTCATAAACTCGGTGCCTAATAATATTTTCTTAAATTAATGCCTGAAAGGCAGCAGGCATGTTCAGAATGTTGGTACAATAAGAATTTCTTATGAGAGAAGTCAATAAAATTTAAAAAGTAAGAAACATCAGTAGTTAACCATATACCTTTTTTCATTGTGTTTCTCCCTATGTATAAAACAATCTGTTTTCACTGAGAAAAAAAAAAGAAAATTGCATAAACTTGGTATTCATATAACTTTGGCATTGCACAGTGACAAAACAAATGTGCTACATGCATACAATATCTTGCGATTTACTGACATGTAGTATGCTTATGTTTACATGCATAGATAGCATACTTTGGAACTTCTGTGGGTTGGTACATAAATACTTTTGGTGATGTGAAATGCTGCATAGCTATTTTAGTGACATGCTGCTTTACTTCATGAATATTTTTTTTTTGATATTTTAAGAGGTTACAGATGATCAAGAACTATATTGATCTTTTTAATTAATTTTTCAGTTTATATTTAGACCATTTATCATTTTTATGTAAATTAAAACAAAGAACAAAACCTAGTTTTCTGCCTGACTAGGTAATTTATATTTTTCTCTGCTACTGAGTGGTGTTAGAGTAAAAAAAAAAAAAAAAAATTGCTCTTGATTTGTGTTTTGATGTAGCTTGACTAGATTAATTCATTTGTGATATTTTGATGTGGCTTTATTTAAAAACTAGATCAAGGGTTAATTTTAGCACTGAATCATTTAGATCTGAATCATTTACCACTGAATCATTTAGATGTAGAAATTACATGCTCTCAGTTTCATTAGAATTACTATAGAATTTGTACATTGTGCATCAGGCTGGGAAGTTGTACTTTTGATTCAATGCTTAGCTTCTTACCTTAGACTTGTGTTAAGTTTCTGAAAATGATGCCTGACACACATTTCACACTTGACACATTTCATGTTATTCGCTTGTATTACAACTTCATAAGCAGTTATTGGATATGCATTTGCACTTCCTGTTTCTGTTTCATCAGAACTTGGTAAGTTACTTTTTATTTAAATTATTTTATCTGCTTGCTCGTAATAATGAGTAGATTAGTTTGTGTTGGAAAAAATAGCAATACCATCTTTAATAACTGAACTGTTTAAGAAAAAAATTGAAAATTATGTAACTGAAGTTCTGTTGATTTCCGAATTTTTAGGTAAACTTCTAAAAAAAACTGAGAGTTAAAAATGATTAACTCATTGAGTTGAATAATAATGCTAAAAAATATTAAGCAAAGAAAAATTTGAATTAGAAATTAAAATGTCTCAAGATTATCAGGATAAGAAAATGCAAAAGTGTGAATCTTCATCTTCGGTTGAAGAATCTAAATCATCTATATAATGTTTCAAAGAACTGGACACCATTTTACAACAAAAGATCCCGTGCACTTTGAACCAAAGAACTTATAACCTTTGAAATCTTCAGTAAAGTGCTGTCATCTATTGAATTGAGCGCACATTAACTTTTCCCGAGATACAGTCGGGTTTGACAAACCGATGAAACTGAAATAAATGTCTCCCGGTATACAGGGGTTGGACAAAAATATGGAAACACCTTTAAAAAAACATGTTTCTTTGCTTAATATGGTGTAGGAAACCCATTGGCATCCAAAACAGCTTGCAGTCTTCTCGAAATGGATAAATACAGTTCCTGTATGTTTGCCAAGGGAATATTATACCATTCTTCCTGCAAAACGGTGGCAAGTTCAGATAAAGATGTTGGCGGTGGATAATGAGAACGCACTTTCTGTTCCAATGTAGACCACAAAGGTTCGATAATATTCAGGTGTGGTGACCAGGAGAGATGGGACAACTCATCCTCGTGCTCAGAAAACCAGTCCTGGACAATGTGAGCTGTGTGAACAGGGGCTTTGTCGTCTTGGAAGACACCATCACCATCGGGGAACAAAGTTTGTACTATGGGATGAACTTGATCAGCCAAAATTTTCACATAAGTCTTGGCAGTCGTGCCCTGACACAGTTATCTTGGGGCTAGCAGAGAACCACGATATGGCTGCCCAAACCATAACAGAACCCCCGCCATGTTTCACTCTTGGCAACAAGCAGTCTGTATTATAGGCTTGAGATGGCGTTCTTCAGACGTAAACTCGACCAGAAGTGGGAAACAATGTGAAAGAAGACTCGTCAGACCATATTACTCGCTTCCACTGCTCTATAGTCCAGGCTTTATGACTTAAACACCACCTTTTCCTGTTACGGGCATTAGCATCACTGATGAGTGGCTTCTCAATTGCAGCACGGCCAGCAATTCCCTGTTTATGAAGCTCCCTTCTAATTGTTTTGGTACTCACAGGGTTCAGTAACACAACATTCATTTCAGCAGTAACTTTTGCAGCTGTGGTCTTCTTATTTTTCGTCACAATTGCCCTTAATGATAGTCTGTCACGATCACTCAGGACACACTTTCGTCCGCGCTGTGATTTAGCAGATGATGCTTTTCCGCTTTTCAAATATGCGGAATAAATCTTCGATACAGTACCTCTTGAAACACTAAACACCTCGGCTACCTTGCTTACGGAAGCACCTACCATACGTGCTCCAACAATTTGCCCACTTTCGAAGTTTGTTAACTCTGACATAATGCAATGACAACCTCACATAACAGTACTCCGACAACAACTGAACTGTTTAGCACATTTACGAAGTTGTATAGGTGACGTCAGTAGTCAAAAATGCCAGTGCCACCTACATATTTCATTAAAATCACTTTCTTTTCAAACATGCATTTCACAAGGTGTTTCCATATTTTTGTCCATCCATTGTATATTCGGGTATAACAATACGATGCACTCAAAAGAAAATTACCCCGAGTAATACTCTAGTGTGACATTTTCGAAGGCCAGTGCTGATCTCGTGCATGACAGTTAAAAGGTTAAATGGGCATGCAAAAGTGCATGTATTTATTAGTTTCTAAACTTTAAAAAAATGTTCAAATTTATTATGGAAGAGCTAACTTATTACGGAAAAAGATCTCATGAAGAGGTCTTAAATTAACTCTTGATATGTCTGATTTTCTTCATAAGAATTATATAAGAAAATTTTTTTATTACTTAAAGTTAGAAACTGCTTTCATAAAAGTGTTAAATTTCCATGGAAATTTCTTTCTTTCATAGCCCCTCTCTCCAGTTTGAAGCAGCCTGGGCACTGACAAATATTGCATCGGGAACTTCAGTGCAAACGACAGCAGTTGTAAATACAGGTATTTTTTTAATGCTAGCTGAAATTATGCATAAAATATTTAAAGTCTGAATATTTTAATTACAGAAACTATTTTATTCTCTCACATTTTTATGAATTTTTTAGGTGCAGTCCCTTTATTTCTGGAATTACTTAAATCACCTCATCAAAATGTATGTGAACAGGCAGTTTGGGCTTTAGGTAACATAATTGGTAAGTCATAAGCAAGTTTGTTTTTATTTGCAGTGTTTGAAAATGTATATTTTTGCATATCAATTCTGACTACTAAAATTTATACTTGATAAGCATATAAATAAATTACACTTGTAATCCTTTTATAATCTTTTCTATTTTTATACATGTTAATTTTGAGCATTTGGTGTAGTTCAACCATGCTGCCTGCAACTTTATGCACAAAACATGCATGTGCCAATTTATTGGATAGGGTGAATGGAATATGAATCATGTAGGGATTTTTTTTGTTCTGATTTTTTTCTCTTTTTACTTTAACTATTCGTAGAGCACAGATTTAAGAGGGCAGAACTTTTTTAAAGTAATCTAAAATAATGTGCGGATTATCATTTGTAATTAATTGTTTGATTATATTATGTTTATGCATTTATATATATATATTGTTACGTTATTTTCTTCCTTCACGTTCGTACAGGGTTCGTAAAGATTTGAAGTGAATAATGACAATACTACTTGATGAAGTATCGAAACACACTTTATTAACTAGTATTGTCAGGACAGCTCCAAAACACGTTTTACATTCGTCGATGAACTACCATAAACACGCTGACACGATCAGCGACACAGCCTTCAGGCTATCACTGTGGAGACAGCTTCCTGCAAAGCACCCGACTCTGCTTAATCATTCTCTGAACTCCACGTATTCTCGAGGCTCTCCATGCTACAACTCGTGCACTCGACGACCCACTTGGCACTCGTTGCCCAGCTGTTAACTGAATCGATTCCGCATGGCTCGCTAGACGAGGCACACTCTCTGAGATGCACTCACTAACTGACTGCGGACCAGCAAGGTTTATATAGCTTTCGGCTTGTGTTCAGGAACATTCTGGGCTAAACCGGTAAGAATTGATTCCAAAAGGTTCTCCAACCATCCTTGGTATATTGCCAATTTTGTCACCAAATGGGCAATTTCTCTCCAAATGTGGCAACCCTGCACTTCCTTGCCATTTTATGACAACCTTAAAACTACATTGCGGGGAAGCCATCTCACCGCGCCTGTACATTTCGTAACAATATATATATTTGAATTTAAAAAACATTCTCTATTCATAAATATATATATACTGGTAAAAACATGAGTGTTTACAAAGCTTCATTTTATTATATATGTGCATAATTTTATGAAAATTTTATAAATAACTATTATTTTATAATAATTATTTTAATTATTATTATGTCTTTATCTCAGAACTAAAATTTATGTGCATTAATATACACTGAAAAAATCTTATTTATAACTTTTATTAATTAAACATTAATAATCGTAATGTATAATTTTCTTTTTGTTTTTTAGTTAAAATCTGTATGCATTATTATACATAGTTGAAATGGTGGGGAAACAAATTTATTTTATAGAAAAAGAATGGAAATAATTCTGGCATAAAGATCACAGTACAGTACAAAGTCCATAATCCGGAATGATCTATAATCCAAACCTGAAAGCTACAACCTTTCTGCACATGCATAGCGTTTACGCATGCGCATAATACCTTTACCCATGTGCATATGCTTTGACGCATGCACGTTAAATGTATAACGGACAGTAGAAGCTAGGCTAAAATTATCTAATTATCTATTTCAGTTAATGTTGCAGATTGTGTTGTTCCTTAACCTTCTAATTGGATCTGGCTTGTTATTTTTTGCAGACTGTTAGAGCAATTTTATAAAAAGTAAGCTTGAATTTTTGATTTTGTCAAAAAGAGTTTCAGATTGAGCTGCCAAAGGATCTACAAAGCAAAAGCATGTTTCGATGTCCATCAAATAAAAAGTGGAATTGCTGCAGAAAATGGATAAAGGCATGAAGAAAGGGACAGAGAGGTTAGTGAAAATGAAAACATTTCAATTGACAAGTTAGTCGAAATTCTCGGCACAGCAATTACAGGACTTGAACAGCGGAACTTTGTAACTGAACAAGAAATTATGTCTGTTTATAGAATTAAAGAGAAAGTATTAGCACATAAAACGAAGCAACTTAAACGACTTACTTTGAAAGAAATGTTTAATAAAGTAAACAAATAAATATTAAGCTTTTTTTTTTTTTTTTTTTTTTTTGTAAACTTTTGATACCCTTTAGGTTATAATTGCTCTTTATTTCATAAATTACGGTTTCATATTTTTAATTTTATAATTTCTGCATGCCAGCTTACCAGATTTAAATTGATGATCTATAATCCGGAAAAACCTCTAATCCAAAATCGCCGAAGTCCCGACGAGTCCGGATTAAAGACTTTGTATTGTATTGCCGAATGGTCACATTGAATCATTTATGTTCATGGAAGACCCTGTTCAAATGGTGTAGATACCTGTTGACTGTAATTGTTTATTTTGCAACTGAAGGAATATTTCTACTAAAAAGCATAGTTGCTTTATTCTTAAAAGTAGGCATTGAAATACGCACTGTTTGTTCACTTAGAATTCATGTAATAATAAAACAAATTTCAACATTTTCGGTTTCTACAGTTTAGCACATCAGTGTGAATCTTTGGATTTATTTCTGAGACTATAAAATAAAGGTGCAAAAGACAACTGATGACAGGATCACTTCATATCAGAGGGACTCTCCCTGCTTCGATAGTAAATTCTCTCTTTCCAGAGAAGGGCAACCTGTAGAGACATTAGATATTTTTGAAAGCAGGAGAAATGAAAAATGAGCAGTGGCCTTTCCAGGACTTGAACCACAGATCTCTCGAATACGCCCCTAGTGTGCAGAGCATTACACCATGAAGGCATGCCGAGAAGACAGGAGAAATTCCTTGTAAAACCTCTCGTGACTGTCTCACCCAACAGTACATAATTAACACTCCTTTTGGGCAATCATGTTTTTGCAGAATGCCAGTTAAGCATGCATTTGATGCTGTCGAACTGTAATATCTTTGTATTTATTTTAACTTTTCAGGTTGATGATTTGAAGTGAAATACTCAAGTAATTACGATTAAAATTTGTTCTGAAAGCTTTAACAGAAGTATAATAATTTACATTTCTAAATCAAGTGAATGGTGGTTCAGTAGTTTTGACACTAACATTTTTAACAATATTTTAATTCACTATAGACGGAGCGTATTCTTAGGCCGCCGCCTTCAACATAAGCAAACTTTATTCTCTCACAACTATGCGAGCAACAGCGCCGTGTAACCTTTTCCTTCAAATTATGCAGTGGCTGAGCGGTAAAGTCGCTGAACACTAGTAGTTCGGTCCAAGGTTCAAATCCCACGAACGGGCTGGCTGCATGGTCGTTTTCGTGGTTTTCCCCATGTGTAACGTGTATACAAGCCAATTTCCCATAAAAGTCCTCCGCGCCCCTTAGGCAGATAGCCCTAGTGTGCTTTGCCATATTTAAATACACCACACCACCACCTTCAAAATTATGTAACAAGAAGTAACAAATAGTATACCTTTATTAAATGCAGCAAATTAGCATTTTTTCCAATCATTTTAAACTGAAATAGAATATGTTTAATAAATGCAGGGAGTTAGCATGAAAAATTATGTTAAATTTTTTATTAGAAATATATTAACTTATAGCATTTAATAAAAAAATTATGTTAGTTAATGCTTAGTATATATTTGAGTATTTTAAGTTGTTTGGAAAAAGAATCTGATATTATTAAAAAGAATACTTTAAGGAAATTTGTTACATTTTCATTTAAACAGAGCAATCTAGTATCCTTAAAGTGTATATTGTGTAGAATAAGTTGTTAATCGATAATATGAAAAAATTATTTAATAATACTTATTCCCTTCTGAAACATTTCTTTCTTGTTAATAATACTTTGTCTTGGTGATTTTCTACTTTGCACATAAGCAGTTTTATAGTGGGAGCTTTCTGGGGTGCATGTGGGGGTGATTAAAATGAAGAAAGGGTTGATTTGAAATGAGTGATGAAAAAATGATTTTGACATTTCAACTTCTCCTAATTTTCCATTTCCATTTTGAAAGGACGGTTGTATATTTGAATAAGAAATGTCAAAAGCATTCAGCCATCCTTTTCAATAGTGTAACGACTGAATATGACGTATTTGCTAGAACACCACAACGGCCTAGGGAGGATTCCACTGGCACCTTTCCATCAGCCACAATAGCTATTCTTTCTGGCTAATTAGGCTTTTCTTGATCAGTCCAGGAATGTACATCGTGTCTGACGATTGCATCGTGAAGAGAAGTTTTCTTTCATTATTAGAAGTGACAAAACAGTGCTCGACGTCACAAAGCTACTAGTACAGAAGGGTCACGAATCGGCTCTTAAGGCCTATTGGCTGGGAACGATTTCCTTTCCCCATTGCTAAGAAAAGCTGCTGCCTATTGTAACGTTGGCTGCAATGATCCATTCATGTTAAAAAGTTTTTCACCCCCGTCAACTTCATCAGTCATCAGCTGTGAAAAGCGTAGTTTGACAATTAGTTTTTTCGCGAAATCCCCTAATATAGTAGAAAATGTGAATGTGCCTTTGCTAATGTGTTAAATCCACAAGGAATTCTCTCAAGAGAGGATGGATGATAATGGATTTAAAATTGTGTCATCCCAAGATTCTCAAGCAAGTTCTATAATTTTGCCTGTAATTTATGAAAGAGACCCTGCTAATGGTCCTCAGAGTGTCAAAGGAAATGTAAGTCCTTATCAACCTAAACGTTATGTTTTCCCACTCAATAAAATAAATTGCAAGTTTAGAAAAGAGGGGTATAATGCATACAGATGGTTAGAATATAGTCCTTCAGCAAATAAAGTGTTTTGTTTTTGGTGCAGAGCATTTTCAGATCTTAATAAAAGATATACTGAATTTGCATTAACGGATTTAGTAATTGGTCGAAGGCAGTTCAAAAATTTAAATCTCACGAGTCCTGCGGCTCTCATAAAAACTCAGAAAGTTTGTTAAATTTTACTGATAGTTTATCATCGTGTTCCATCTGTGCCAAGCTTGATTAGCAGTATTCAAAAGAAATTAATAAAAACCGCAAATATTTAA